ACCCCCTCCCTCGGTGGTGCCACTGTGACTGCCAAGAAGTGACTGACATGGGCTGTAAGTGCCAGGCGAAGGCCAGGAGCAGCCAGACAGACACCAGGGATTCATCCCACTCTTAGTGCATATTCCTGCTGCTGTTAATCTGCCTGAACCACTGACCTACAGCTAATGCATTCAATAGGCCTTCTGCTTAAGTCCGACCAAGCTATTACTGATGCAGCTGGCCTAAAAAAAGTACAAAAAAATAGTTTGAATATGTATATGATCTTTAAATGACCTTCCCTATTCCTAATGCCTTCAGCCGACTTGCTTCCAGGTCAGACTAATGTCTAAAGCAATCATCCCAAGCAGCAATGGGTTATCTTTGGTGCCTACAAACCATTCCGCATGGTGAGCTTCCCTTTTTTTTTTTCCAACAGCAGCTGGGAAAGTAATTGCTGGTGGAAACACATGGACACAGTGAGCTTCAGCACCACCAGGACTGCATTAGGCCATGTGGTTAACTTGAACTGCATGGGCTTGGATTCCCTGTCTTAATTCTGAACCCACAACATAAGGGGAGCATATTTCCCTGCTCCCACATCATTATTTGCAATCACTGTTATCCAAATAATCTGGTTCATAGATAAAAACTGTTTCAAAAAAAACATTGGAAGAAAGACAATAGATCAGCTAACAATAGACTGGCTAATCATTTAGGAAAACTAATAAAATAATAATGACACATTAATAAACCATTCAGACTCCTGGCTCATCAAGTGTTTCGTCTATAAGTTACAACAAATCCAAAATCCATCTGCTAAATTCTACTGACACTGAAATCTATAGGAACTCTTGATTCTTGTGTAGGGTGACGGGTCAGTTCAGTGAGTTCAGCCAAGCACTAAAGTCTGAATTTGGCTTCAGGAATTCTGACATGCTTCCACCTCCAAGGGATTGCAAAGGTTTACCAAGAACCATAAATAGCCCAAGCACAAGGCTCTGAGTGAGCAAAGGACACAAGAAGCAGCTGCATTAGGTTTTAGCAATAAAAAGCTTGTTACCTTCTGCCTAACACAGATTTTCTACGTGACAAACATCAGAATTAAACAGTTGCAATATTCAGCACATTTTTATCCAGATAAATATTGAAAACATATTTAATGCAATATTGAAGGGATTACAGAATTCAGAAAAGGGAAAGTCTGACTAATGCTGCAGCTGTGCAGCATTCCAGTGAATCCAAGCCATTGCCAGCATTTATTAGCCACTCAGCCTCTGACAATAAACAATCTCCAGCTCATGATCATATATCCAGACAGATAGATGTACGGTATTGCCTACACAGAACACATTAACACTGTCCTGTCTATGTGATTACTTTCCAGCATTAGCTTTAGTTCAGTGAGCCTCCTTTAAAAGGTGAAGTTCAGTTTTGATTTTATGTTCTTTAATGACTGTAAACAATTACAGTATAACATGCCCTGTTGTACATTTACTTTTGTTTTCTGGAAGAATTACTGTGGCCTGAAGTATGTGAAGACTGTTTATTCCGGACATTAAAATGAAGACTTCAGCCATTTTACAAAATCAAATTTTAGGTTGGAAAAAGGTTTTCCCCCATAACATTTGGAATCAAACCACTTAAAGTTATGATAGTAACTTCAATAGGGGGCAGGTTTTTATCCATTGGAGTAGGGGTGATTTGAAAAATAAAACACCAGTGGAAATGTCTAGGCATGCAATTTCTTAGGGAAAGTACAGTATTAGAAATACCAAATAAATAATCATTATACTATCCCATTAAATCAGATGAAGAAAAAAACTCAGGGATTTTTTTTCCCATCCTTTTGTGGGACAAGTAACATAAGTTTTGTGAAATCTCTTCATTTCGGCATGCATTCCACATTGGATTCAGATAACCAGGCACATGCGGGATGGACTCAAAGCTGCCTCTCTTATCTTTGGCCACCACCACATTATAAACTTCAGTTAAGAGCTTTATTTATGTTTGGTGTCTGGTGAAGGTTCAGAAGAGGAAGCAAAGAGAGGATTGCCATTAACTAAACAGAACTTTGCAACGTGAGGGGGTTTTGGTTTCTTGAAATACCTGCTCTGCCAAGGACATGCTCAAGGGTTTATATCATACAAGCCAGGACACTTGCCTTGACACACAGCATTAAAACTGGACTAATACCAGCCAGGATGAATCTCCAGTATGAGATACTGTTCTGAGAATGGTCTAAACAAGAAAACAAGAATGCTCTGCAGAGGAAAAGCCAGGGAAATGATTCAATGCTTCTGATAATACAAAGCAGAAAGTCACAGGAGAGAGCTTCTCGTATAAAAATATGTATTGTTTCAATACACAAGATAAAATAATTACTTGGCCCTCTTTCTCTTCTGTTTCTTTTAGTAGATGAAGAATGAAATGTCACCAGTATTATTCAGTTATAGTCTTGTCAAAGTTCAACATATCAGAGAAAATCTCCAATTATACTGAGAAAGATTTTGTTGTCAGCTGGAGAGTGTTTTATTATGGTACCTTACTATGATAGTTTTATAAATACAGTCCAAGAACAAGTGGAAAAAGCAACAGATTTCTTGCAATATATGGAAGGATTAGGGTAAGAATAATACATCTATTTTCATTTTTCCCTGGTGCTGAACTTTCCAACATAAAATACAATGGGAAAGTATTTCAGAAGTGCATTTTTCATTAACATAAAATTTTCCATTCAGTGCAACCATCTCTGGCTTTGCACTTAAATTTATCACTTAAAATGATAATTCTCAAAGTAGCCCTAGGTGGTGAGGATGCAAACCAGCAAGAACCCAGGTGGGGACCCAGCTAACAAGAATTCATTCCTGACACCACTACATTGGTCTAAGCTGCCAGACACGCAGATTCCAAAATTGTTGCATTTGTTGTGCATTTTAGGACAAATATTTTGAGGCAAAACAAATTGGATGAAGTTACATGCTTCTGACTGGAATAGGCAAGCAGCTCAAACAGGTCTAACTCATGAACAGGGTAGGCAGGTCTAAGTAATGTTTTAATCAGTCATCCCAAATCGCCAATATTTGTTAGTCATTATATTTCACAAAAGATGGACCTTGAAAAAAGATGGACCCATATGTCCTGGTCCATACCCCCAGATTTACAAAAATTGCAGTTGTATGGGTTTTGATCCTCTGACCACTCAGCCAGCAGAGAAGGGATGCCAAGGAACTGCTCCAGGGAGGAGAGAAAGAATTCTGATCACGCAGAGCCATTGCTAAACTGCCCCTGAAGCTCAGCTAGGGAGCAAGAGCTCTGAGCTGGGAACTGGATCCAACAGGCATGAGACAATTAAACACTGGGCTTGTTCCACTGCTCTTAGATATTTTTGGTAAAACAAACATTGTTAAGATACCACTTCAACCCAAACTTGCTCAGTGGCACAAAGGTGTCAGGTGGTCAACCAAAAATGGTCAAAGTTATGGAATCATAACAAATTATTCCATTGATAGCCCTTGCACCCTCTTTCATTAATGACTGAAGGACACAGGGGAATTACTGAACATTAATTAGTTGTGGAACTCCCAACATAACTGATGACTCACATTTACTAGAATTTCACTATTTCAAACATAATTCCACCACAAAGAAGCAGAATATCACCCCCGAGTTCACATCAAGTTCAACTTGCAAAGCACCATGGTACAGTACGTGCTGCTGGATATAACAAAATAAAGAAAATGACTGCAGCTCAACTGAGATTATGGAACCTGAGAGAGTTCCTGGAGTCAATGATATCCAACTGAAAGCCTACCATGGTGGTCTGATCCAGAGGACATTTATTACTGTATAAGGAGCACAAGCCCAAGAGACTAGACAAAATTCAATAAATACATATTTCATTTATGAGCAGGGTGATAACCTGGACAGTCAACTAAGATTTTTTAACAACAATAAAAAAAGAAAATAATTCATTTCTCTGGCCTTTTGTTAAATTTTTTTGATGCTTCACAGAGGTTCGGGAGAAACTGTGGTCAGGGATCAGGAGCTCAGATGCAACTGCCTGGAGGTGATAGTCATATAAAAGATAAAAGGGCTATAGTACCATATGGTATCCAAGCAATCAGAAAGAACACTGGTAGAGATGAAAAGTAAGGAGAAACAGCCTGAGGTACTCAATTCAAGTCGTAGGTTTCCTTTAAGAAGAGATGCTGAATAAATCCAACTTTTTTTATCATTAGAAATTACTCTTCCTTTTAAAGAGCACATTAAATTATGACAAGTCAACATCTACAGGTCAAAACAAAAACAGCAACAATTCCTAGGTTGTCTTCTCCAGGAAATAAAAAGGATAGCATTTGCAACTAAGACTTTTAGTAGAATCTGCCTACAAAGTTGCATTCTAAATAAATGCTATTATCATGAAACAGTATTGGCTTCTTTCCAGTCCTAAAATCAAGCCAAGTATTTAAGCATAATAATATGGTTTTGTCCTAACCATTCTAAAGACCCAGTTCTTTACATTAGGCCTTTCTTGATGAAGTGCTGCTGATATCCTCAGCTTGATCTTTTAATTATTTGGTTATGAGTGGAGTTCATAGTGGTTTAAAGATCAACATCAGTTTAAATTAAAAGTCTGTCAGATTCTTTGAATAGTCCTTGATTTTTGAATGAAGGAAGTAAACATTGACTTGGACTGTTGCAAGGAGCTGATATTTCGTCATATACTGCTCAGTGATTGTTTCAACTCTTTTTATGCATCTGCAGGATAACAAACTTTGGTAATCCCACGACAACAAATCGTTTGAGGACCCATGGCTACATTTCTATATAACATCAGACAACGGTTGCAGAGAATTTATCCCTTTCCCACCTTTATCCCCTTCTTCCCACCTCAGATTACGTACCTGCATTGGAAGACAAGCCACTCCAAGCACCTTCTTATGGTGATTCAGACAACTTGTATTTCAAGGCCTTTTAGAAACTCCTGTATCTTTCCAATTCATGGGCTTCAAGCTGTTACATCCCAGGAGAATCTTCTGGTTAAAAAAGAGATGGAATTAAACAAGCCAAAGGGCTGATACAAAAAAAAAGAGTCTTCAATTTATTTGAAAAGTAGCATAATATTACAATTCTAGATATTTCTCATCCCCCTTCTTAATTGAGATGAAAATTCCTCTCTAGCTAGCAGAATTAATTATTGGGATAATTTCTTTAGTGATTTAAAATTGTCTTTCAGTAAACAAGCATTTAGGCAGACATTTATTACCAGTCCTCTTATCAGATTGCATTTTCTGTGAAATTCAGTTTGTTGAAAAAAAATGCCCTGACTGAATTTTGAGCACTTTGCAGCATTTGGAGTGAATTTGAAGATCAAAGACAAGATACAAGCAGCAATGAATTTCTGTGAATTTCTTATTTCATTATAAGAAATTAAATGACCTGCTACAGCACTTTGTGTATATTCTGAATAAAGAAATTTTCCTAGATTGAAACAAAAAATAAACTCAAAATCAAAATACCTACACACAGAAGTGTGTTTCCTAACATAATAAGGAACATTAAGCATATATATGTGACTTGGTGACGGTCAAAAACTTTAGGAATATTGTTTTTTGAATGTCTCTTTATAGTTCTGATAGAAGCTAGAATATAATAACAGGTCAAATAAAATATTATGCACATATTTTTGGGCCTACAAAATGGGTGTCAAATTGAAAGACTCTATTTTCACTGATTTAGCCATTAATTTCTTTATTAAACAAAAGCTGAAGAGGCCTCACACTTCCATAGTTGCGTTCCATTAGAAATAAATTTTTCTAGATAATGGGGCTCCTTCCTATTCCCAGTTTTAAAGTAATATATAGGCGTATTAAATGAATTAAAGTAAATGAAAGACATATAACATTAAATAATACTTCAGACAGAATATTATGTCTGCCATGGAAATGCCAACCAAAGGTAAATGCAAGGGAAAGATGTCAGCTGGGGTAGCTGATAAAGAACAGGCAGAGTCGCTTCAACAGTCTGTGTCATTGCCATCAAAAGGGAATTCTAGAAAATCCTGCTGCTCCAGACAATTTCCCCACAGGTTAGCAGGCTGAGTCCCCAGCAAGTCTCAATACAACGTTGGGATCTCTGAACCAGATCATGGCTGTGATATTAAGTCTTTGGGAAAAAACCCCAACTAAACAACCAAAGAGAAAACAAGCAACCCCACCAACCTATTTTTTCTTGTAAAATAAAGAATCATGTCTGTGGTATTAATTCTTTAGGGGAAAAAAATGCTACTTTGTCTGCAAAGTGAAGTATTGAGCCATGCTGAAATGTTGCATCAAATAGAAGTGATTTCTGTCAAGTTAAACACTGCAGAAGACATTTCCAGAGCCTCATAAAGACCACAGATAACCCCTTCCCATTATTGGGCCTTAAAGCATCCAGACCCCACGTTAGCTTTGAAAATTTCAAAGTTGATGAGGGGTATTTGTTCAAATTCCTGTTTCATTTTTAGAGGGTCTCTTCTGCCTCAGTTGAGTAAAAACAGATTTTGTGTTCACTTCAGCAGGATTAGTATCCTTCATGAGAGAGGACTAACCAGGATTCATGTCTTCCTACTGTTCTCTGTTCAAATTTTATCAAAAAGTGTAACCCCAGAGCACTGACACCTGATGTATCCAAAACAGGGAGACATTCTGTGGTGCTCTGACCTTGTCACATCCTGCTGAGAACCACCAGGTTAATCCAGGCTAAGTGAGACTCTGATGTTTAGAGCAGGTCTGGTTTACAGCAGAATATTCATCTCTAAAAGGGATGGGAAGAAGTGTCCAGAAGCATTATTTATAAATGAAGATAAGTGCTGGCTGACTTTCCTGCCTTATGCTTATATCATCTAATTACTTTGGCACAGTGTTTTATTCTTTCATGTTCCAAGTCTGGTTTCTGCTTGAGCAACTCACATCATTCTCCTTCCTATCTCTTAAATTTTCTTTCCCCTCCCTTCAGATACACCCTTAACAATCCTAAGTAAACCGATCTTCAGGGGTTTATATGCTCAGTGTTATCTAATTTCTGCTCTCAGTTTCCCAACAATTTCTTTTTTTGGCTGCGAGGCATTATGATATGATGGGCATGCTTTTAATGGGATCACCCAGACCCCCACATCAATCTCAAAGCACCCCAAAAACCAGTGAGAGCTATGAATTTCAATGCCTAAATTCTATAATTTGGAGAGAGTGCCATCTAGAACTATTAAATTCTTTAAACAACAATGAAACCAAGTGAAGCAAGACCTAAGACACCAGACTTATCTGGCATGTCCAAGGGTTCTCTTTTACAGCACATCAAGTTAAATGTTCAAACAGCACGGTTTATGGCTTGCCTGTGCTGTTAAAAAGGGTTTGTATGTGACACAACCCTCTCAGTTCTCTGCATCTGCAAATCTGATCTTTTAAATGTCTCTTTTCTTTGATCTTCCTAACATGAGCAAACAATTCTCTCAACCTCACTACCTATATCTCTTGCTTTTTCAGTTAGCTCTGAGTTTTAGTGGCCTGGTAAAGTTTCATAGATGTACCTTATGTAAAGGACATTTCTTAATCCCAAATCAAGGTAATGGAATATAATTTCCCAAGAAAATTGTCTAATTAGCGAGTAATAAAAAATGACAAATCACTCTCTTAAAGAATTGAAACATCAGCAGGTAGCTGGCAGAATAAATTATGTTTAATTACAAATATTTGCACTCCACTGTCAATAACATGATTCAGGAAATAGACTGAAAATGTAACGTAAAGATTTTTTGCATCCATTTTTAAACAAATCTTTACACAAATGCCTATCTTATTCTAATACTAGTTTATAGAAACTACATCAGTTCCAGGGGAATCTTTGATCTGCACAATTATCAATTACATAATTAAAATCAGAAGAGTGGAGACGCTTTGAAGATTCATTAGTAACTTAATTTATTCTCAGTTACTAATTTTCATTTTCTAAGATAGAAAAACATGAAACAACAAAGTGTGTATATTGGCTCTGTGGTGTTCTTTGAACTAACAAGCCTCCTATGAGTTCCAAGAAGTATATTTTGGGTTATTTAATAATATAGTACATAGGTTCCTAGGAAAATACGGGCAGAGTCTGTGAGGGGTGGATTTGTGATTAGTTGCAAACATTTATAGCTATATTTGAGATTTTATGAAAAAAATAGATAAATTCTTGAAGATTTTAAATTAAGTACATTTTCTCTTTCCATTTACTCTAAAGATGCTTTTTATCTGCAATTAGAACATGGTGGATATTAATATTCCAGTCCAGTCTCTTTCTTCACTACAATCCTTTGTGTTGAGGGAAATATAAAGTATTAAGCAACTCAGAATATCTTGTGATAACACACAGTGGCCTACTATTTAAAATGGAATTACAACACTTCAACCTTTCTTACATGGAATAAAGATTTTTAAACTTATGCAGTTTATTTGTATTTGCAGAGATGCTACAGCAGTGATACTGTATCCTCACAAGCAAAGTTAAATCTTGTGCCACACAATTTTCCTCTAGCTAGGCAAAGTGATTACTCTAAATTACTCCTTCTGTGCAGCTGATAATATCAATTAACCAAGTGGTTACTTGTAAACGCAAATATCTGAGGAAATCTCTGGACTAGCTGCCACAGTGGAATCACAGAAAAAGTAATATACAAGTGGTAAAAAATTATCCTGTTTAATGAAAAAGCTACAAGCCAAAACAAAACACTCAGACACATAAAGAAGACTCTTTATGTATAAATACTATCAAGAAGCACCAGGTTTTGAAGGTAAGCCATTTTTAAGAGAAGACAGTGTGCAAATCAAAACAATGGACATAGATATTGCATCTGCACACTATAAACTCTAGAAGGAAGTAAAAATATTTCAGTTGAGAAATCATGTTCTGAATTTTAGAAGAAATCAACTATTTGAGAGCATTTAAGAAGGAAAAGAAGGAAGCATGCCAGAACATTTCATCGGCAAGGCCCCAGCCTGATACCAGCAGACTGCTTTTTATCATTTAAATATCATAGAAAATTGCCAGAAACAGAGCTATGCATCATACCAACCACATAAATCTACCTCCTTAAGGAAGGATTTAAAGTTTTGTCATTCAACATCTGTTTAGGAGCCTGAAGGCTCATGTCAAGTATTCTGCCCCTTCATGAACTCAAACTGGGAGATGGCTTTTGTTACATACAAAAAAAATGAGAAAAAAAGGCAACAGAAGTTCAGAGGATGAGCATTCTGCCTCCTAGCCCATGGAGTTTCACTATTTGTATGTAACTTTGATTTATGCATAAAGGGTGAGTAATTTAAGATGAAATCCCAAAAGTTACCCTCTACAGCCACAGACATCTGCAGTGATTTCTTCAAGGAATCAGGCTTTCCAACACCACCTCATACACATGATATTTTTAGTGTTTCCTGGTTTCAGTTAGGAGAGAAATCACAAAAAACATAACTTTTTGAATGTATTTTCCCATGTATTTCTCTTGCCATTGTACCTTAGAAGTAAACCATAGCAGAGAAACAGAGCACAGCAGTACAATAAGCATCTGGAGCATAAACAAGGGTGAGTTACTTCTTCCATTTCAATGAGTATTTATGTAAATGTAACTTTAATCAGATGTGATCAACATGCTTTTTTTTTAAGCTAAATGCAAAAACCCAGCCCAGTGAACTGTTATTGCAAATGGGAAAGAGCATCAGCTCTGTCTGAAGCTCTTCCCAATGCCATGGAGCTGAGTAAAGACAGAGTTTCAATTTCTACTTAAAGCTCTCTGATATAAATACCTAAATGGGACAATTTCTGGCACTGACATGCATTTTGCTAAGTTGATTAAATGTTTTGTTTGTTTTTTTTTTTACCAAAATATGGATCACTTATTGTTCACAGGAGTCAAACATTATGCCAAGCAAGCAACATAATAAGCTACCCCTCTCTACCCAGATTTGTTTCAACAAAGCCTACAGACTCTTCCTTTTTATTTTGCAATTAACAGCCTGAA